CCAAGGGTACACCACACCTGGCTTCCTTTTTTATTTTGACACAGGCTCCCACAAAATTGCCCAGGCTGAACTCAAACCTGTGACCCTTCTTTACCCTCCCATAGTGCTGGGATTATAGGCATGAACCACCACACCCAGTTTATAACAAGATTTTAAAATTATGGTTTGTCACTGCTCACAGGTGTTTTATTTGATTTAAATTTCAGAAATATAGCATTCATTTTATTTTAGGTATTATAAAAAAGTCGCTGTTAGAAAAGAGAAACAAAAACGGAATGCAGATGAAGAAAGTATAGAAGATGTGGATGATAAGGAATTTGAAAAGATGATTGGTAATGTTCTTTTGTTTACTCTCAATTTGTAACCTATTACAGTTTAGTTTATAAAAATCACTAGCTATATTATGAGAATGCTAATAGAGGCTTAAACATTTTTATGGCATATTTAGGAAATCATCTACATTCATATCTACACTCACTTTTCTAAAGTGATTGTGCTTTAGGATAGCTTATGTTGTGAAAATTTCATTTACATGAGTATATTTTTAAGGCAAAATCTTTTATAAAAATTACTCATAATTTTTTTTTTTTTTTTAGACCTGATCTCCCTATATAGTCCAGGCTGCCCTTGAACTCACTAGTCTTGCCATTTTATCTTTTTTATCCACAAAACGTGAGAAATTTTAAATGAAAATGTAACAGACTGAAATGAAATACATGGAAACTGGAAAGGCATTTTTGTTGTCTATTATACCTACTAAAAGTGAGCACTTAAATACTGTAGTTCTCCTACAGTAAAAAGAAATATAATTACTAAATGTTGTCTTTTTCCCTTAAAAAGACTGGAAAAAATTTGGAATTACCTGAAGTCACTTTAGAGATTTCATTAAAGTGGGTATTTCACAGGCTTATGTACATTTATGAGACACACCACCAAGTCATTTGTATCATTTTTGATGCTTTTCATAAAGAGCAGAATTGTGACTGTTAGCATAGTCAGCTCAGTTGCAACACACTGACCTTGTGACTCTCTGCTGTATCTCACAACCTGCATATTCTCTGGCAGACACATTTGAAGATGATAACTACTACAATGGTGGAAAGGATGACCTTGATTTTGTAAGGTAACGTACTTTCCTTTAATCTCTTTACTGTTTTCCCAGCATTTCTGAAATTGTTATCTCTTAAAACCGTGTACCTCAAAGTACAAGGGAAATGTATTCAACCAACTCTGGATAGTGAGAGAATAGTACTTCTAATTTTGACCTTTATAATGTGCATTATACTTTGAGCAGTCTAATTCTCCTTTAAGTCATTTAACAGCCAAGTACTCTTGTTGATCATCAAAATACAGCCCTCCTTTACAAGTTGTGGGTTTCTTCCAGCAATGTGAAAAAGAAAACAAAAAGAGCTAAGGATAACTGTGAAGATGAAGATTCAGAGGGTAGCGATGGTGAATTTGCTAATCTGGATGATGAAGAGGTCTCTCTAGGAAGTATGGATGAGGAATTTGCTGAAATTGACGAAGAGGGAGGCACATTCATGGATGTGTCAGATGAGGACCGTGAAGGCATTCCAGGTAAGCAGTTTTTAAAACTAAGTCACCAACCATCTTCTTTCCTTGCTCTTAAGGCTAGTTTTTCTAGTAAAGGTTTTTAATATGGCCCTGTATTCATAGTAATATTCATATATTCAAGAAGCACAAGGGGACCTTTTGCCTTATTTGGAAATTAAGGTTTTGTGAAAAGTGTCTTTTTTTTTTTTTTTTTTACAACAGCTCAGTTTTGAGTGTTTGACTTTATGTTGTGTTGTTTTGGTTTGGTTTTTCAGTACCAGGGCTTGAACTCATAATCTTGCACTTGCCAGGCAGGCATGGTGCCATTGAGCTAAATCCTCAGCTTGATTTTTATTTTAATCAACAATTAGCCTTTCTACATTTTATAAAGCTAATCATTTCTCATCAGCTATACAGCATTAAAAAAAAAGACAGCCCGACACCATAAAGATAAACATATTTCATTATAAATTAGCAAAGTACACCTGAAATTGTATCTTTGCGCTATTTTCTAAACACCAGTGTACACAAACCTATTCCTTATTCTGGGCCATGGGAGAAGTTCTTGTCTTAAGGAGTTTGCATTATTTTGTCTCAGTAATAAAGGCATTTGGTAAATTGTGTGCTTGCACAAAATACAGAACCGTACCAGTTACTCGTAGGTCTTGATCCTCCATCCCCAAAGCCTGTACTAGTGGAATTACAGAATCATGAGATCCATGTTATATTCCATACATGTTATAGTATGTTGCCATGGGACTAAAGATTTTAGCGTACTTTGATGTAATATTTTCCAGTTCTGTTCTTAAATTGCTTCATATCAATTTTTTCTTGAATAATAGAACTTGATGAAGTCAACTCCAAAGACAGTACTAAGAGAAATAAAAGAAAGGGTACAGGTGATTTTGACTTTGCTGGTTCATTTGAAGGTAAGAGAATTGATGTACTTTTTCTTAAATCTAAGCAATGTCCATGTGAAAACAAGGGAAATAAGCTTTTCTCAATTTGCTGGTATAATTTAGGTGTTTTGTTTTGCTTTCTTAAAGATGTTTTTATATTTCCCATATATCTTTTTCTCTTCCTTTGTTCTTCTCACATTTAAATGTATCTAGATCCTCTCTGCATCCATGTTTAAAGCATTCAAATTATATGTAAATCCTAAATTTTCAACATTCCTGTTACCTTTTTCTCAATCGTTATTCTTTGCCATCTCACCCTTATAAAAAAATTATTTTTTATATCTGCCAAAACAGTTCTAATCTCAATATATATAACTAGAAGATATGAATTATTTCCACAAATTTGTTCTCTAATCTTTTCTTATAGTACTATGCTTTACAGTATAACACTTGTTGGTGCTAATAAAAGAATTGTATCAGGTGATAGTTTTGAGTTTTTAATAAAAATGTTGAAGCACTGCATTTTTCTAATGTCTTTCTAGCTTCTGCTTACTGGTAAATACTAATGAATACTTAGTAGACTTTCAAAGTTAAATGGAAATAATTTTTAAATATTTTACATATTGCTGTGACCATTGTGGAAGTCAATATGGAGATACCTCAAAGAACTAGGACTAGAGGTTCCATTTGACCAGCTATCCCTCTGCTGGGTATCTTTCCAAAAGAATTAAAAGAACCATACTACAGTGATATATATGCACCCATGTTTATAGCAGCAGTTTGTAATAGCTAAAACTTGGAAACAGCCCAACTGTCCATCAGTTGGGAAGACTGGATAAAGAAGATGTGGTTTTTCTATAAAATGGAGTACCACTCAGTCATAAAGAATAAGAAACTAGAGTCATTCATAGCAAAATGGATGCATATTGAGGCCATACTCTTAAGTATTAAGACACATGTGTGAAAAACTCAAAGTGTAAATAAGATCCAAATTGTGTAATTGACAATGTGAAATAGGAAGAAAGGGGCTAAAGGTGCAGGGGAAGTGGGAAGGTTAGGAGAAAGGAACTAAGGGAAAATAAAAAATATGAGAAAGTGAAAAAATGGAAACAAACTCTTTGTAAATAGGGGAGTGGGGAGGGGGTGAAGGGAGGGAAGGGGTAAGGGGAAAAAATGAGAACCAAGATCTGTCATGTAAAGGGTACAAGATCTGAATGATAAATGTAACTGTACTGCGTACCTAAAGAGTACCAATAAACTCAGTGAGAAAAAAAAATTTTTTAACATATTGGTAGTAGTTCCTCAGATACTTAGATCCACAGAATTTGTAGGAGCTCTTTTAAATGCTACTAGCAATATCCTCTAATAGCTAGATGACTTAACTAGTAAATATTTACATCATAACATTTTATTTTCCAGACTATGTCTTCCCTAGAGTGATTAAGATGACTTAATAACGTGCCCAATAAAAAGCAGAGTTTCCTCAAGATAATCCCTCAATATAGAAATGCTGCTCTAGTTCAAGTCCTGCTAAACTGGTTATTAAAAGATGCTCCTTCAGTAGCCTTGTTTTGAATAGTACATGCTTATTTCAGGTATTACCCTAAGAAGATTTCTAGTGTCCACTGATAATATAGTTTGGGCTGCAGGTTAAAGGATACCGGGCAGAATTGATTGAAATGGGGTCTTACACAGATTTAATAATTAAAGGGCCTTGGGTTTTACTGTACATCTACAGATACTGAGTATCATTAAGAGTAAACAGCCTTAAGGAAACTAAGAAGTGCTCACCCATTGAGATACAGGTAAATATCTACAGGATGGATGAAAACAAAACCCAAAAAAACTACAAATGGGTGTTCATGGTTATATATAACGTACATTTCAGATTAATAAAAATTAAGATGGAATGCTTTAGAAACGATTTTTATCAAAAGTGGCTCTGATGTGTACATAGACTTGTCGTGATTGTTCATACACCTTTATTAATATCAAAAAGGGTTCATAAGCCACATGCCCAAAAACTGAAGAATGGATAAATGGAATGAGGTATATCCATACAGTGATAACATAAGAGTCATGTTCAACCAACTTTTTCATAATCTAATAAATATCTGAATTAAATTTAAGTTTTGCTTTATTCTAGAACCCATCTGACATCATTAGAATTTTAATCTTGCCTGATACTACAGAATTTCTCCAAGCAGATAATTGTCATTTTATTTGTACCCAAATAGAATTTTTTAAATGAAATCATGTTGAAAAGTATATTTTTCAAAAATCAATGGATTTAGAAGTAAATAATACAGACATATATTTTTTAGGACCAAGAAAGAAAAAAAAACGAAACCTCAACAACTCCAGTCTATTTGTATCTGCTGAAGAGGTAAGGCTAATATACTGCTTTAAGTAGGCGGCCATTCTGTTATTTTAAATTTTCCAATAAATATATATTTTGTTTTTAAGTTTGGCCACCTGTTGGATGAAAACATGGGATCCAAATTTGATAACATTGGCATGAATGCCATGGCTAACAAAGATAACGCAAGTAAGTAACTTGAGTTTTCGGTTGCAGTTTGTGCAGTAGTCTGGGGATGCAGTTCAGTGGCAGAGTCTGATTGGTATGCAGTGAGGCTCTGGGTTTGATTCCCAGTGCCACAAAGGTGGAGAATAAAACAGCCTCCACTTAAAATGGGAAGATGGATATTTTTGGAGGACCTTTTCAGTGTACCCTACAATCTGGAAGGGATGGCTTTTTCCTATCTCCCCTCTGGATGATACAAGATTAAAAAGGATTTAGACCATAGCAAAAAATACTACATACTACAAAAATTGGGTTCTATAGGGCAGCGCATGCTACTTTTATACAGTATAAGCTTGCTAAAGGTAACTTTATGTGCTTAAATAGTACTGATTATTTCTGATATTAATAGTTACTATTTTCTTTCACAAGCAAATGTACTCAAGAGAAAGGAAATCTTTACAGAACATTTGTTCCTTTTCCTTTCTCAGTGTTTTATTTGTAAAATATTAGTCTTTGACAATAAAAGAAAAGCAACAAACAGGCGGTGGGCTTGCCTAGTGGGTGGGAGCTGCATGCTGTGGCGACCTGAGGTCCTGCTGCTCGGCAGGATGCTCTGTTAGTCCAGCATCCACAGCGTGGTGAACTCATCTTTCTTCTCTTAAAGGTCTCAAACAGCTTAAATGGGAGGCCGAACGTGACGACTGGATACACAACAGAGATATGAAAAGTATCATCAAGAAAAAGAAAAATTTTAAAAAGAAGAGACAAAATAGTCAGAAAACTAAAAAGCAAAGGAAATGAGTTATTAAAGTAAATAATAACATTGTACTTACTCCTAATTTTTGCTATCCAACCATATTTTTTGATCTTGCTCTCTGGTTCCATAAACTCCAGACTGTTCAATGGATTTGTAATAAACTATAAATAAAAGTAGCTGTCATTTATAATACCATGTAAAAATGTTATTAAACTTACATTGAGAAAAATTTCCTTTTTCATATTGCTACATAATAAAAAGGACTACATAGTTCTATATTTTACGTACAAGCTCTATCCACTCCACTAGTTACTGTAATGAATAACTGTTACTTTATACCAGATACTGTGCTTTGAAGTACTAATGTCTTCTTGTTTAATCCTAACAATACAATGAGGCAGGCATTAACTCTACACTAGACAGAGAAAGAAATCATTCTGAGAAGTTAGCAAAACTGAGATAAAACTGGTCTTAAAACCAAAGGTTTAAGATGTGATTTGCTTCCATCACTGCCTTCAATACATCTCATTCTGAAATCTGTGTTCTTAACTATTGGAAGAATTAAGAATCCAGCCAATTAACCAGCTGTGCTCACATCTAGGCGTCTTAGGTGAGAATTTTCCCTGCTTGGTCTCAGAAGGAACTACAATAGGAAGGAATTGTATTGCTGGAAGTTGACGGATCACAATATAAACTCACTTCATCTTTAGTTATGGAGAAACTAGTTAGTGATTATCTGAAAAAGATGCACTGTAAGGGAAAACATACCTTCTAAGATGAAAGGAAATTTCTTACTCATTGTTTGCCTGAAATCTGATGAAAAAGAAGCCTTAAATTAGATATAATTAGAAATTCACTACATCACACAGAGCCATGGTTTTAGTGCTTTACGATCTAGATGATAGGAATCGAGTCAGAAATTTAAGATCCTGGTAATCCAGGAACTAAGATTTAAAATAGTACTTGCTTTAACATGGAATCTTCTTACAGCTATTTTAGAGTTCTTAAAATATATGTTATATAATTTTACTTAGAAATATTTTAAAGCACATTTCTAGGCCAGGGATTTAGCTCAGTGGTGCCCCGCCTGCCTCACAAGCACAGGGTCCCAAGTTCAATCCCCAGTACCAAAACAAAAGCACATTTCTAGTTTCAATATATTTTCTTAGGTAACTATGGGTTTTTTAATGGATGTCATTTTACCTTGGCAAATTAGAAAGCACATCATGTGAAGTATTTGAGTTTGATCACAAACTAATTTCCTTTGAAATAACTATTGGGATGTTTAAAAGTATAGACTGAACACCCAATAGCAGCTCCCTGGACCAATGTTCAGTAAACTGACAAAAGACAAGTGACAAATTTAGAAGAGAGTCATAAGGACATGCTTTAGGAAAGTAAGTATTTCCTGCTTTTAAAATTTGACTCTAACAAAATTTTAACAAAATGTTAAAGTACTTCCACTGATGCATGGGGAAGGCTTTCAGTGCCCACTCTTGACCAAGGAAGAATACTTAGTATAGCCCAAGAAAGTGTTATTGTCAGAATACAGTGATGTCGCCTCTTTCTCAGTCTACCAAACAACGAACTGTAATAGGCAGGCTGTTTCCTCCACCTATCTGCCTCCCAAATTTAAGCCAGATCAAGAACACTGGCTCTTCCTTCCCAACTAGTGAAGTACATGTGTGAAACATGTTAATAAGGGAGATGAGAGTCCTCCAGCCAACAGCAATGAATCCCTCATTTGCCCTCTGCCCATAAAAACATCTAATACAATGAATCCACACAAGCATTTGCAGCACAAATGCATTAACAAACTTTATACTTCTCTAGAAAGCATTAACTTCTGAATTGTGATTACCTTGGCTTGTGTTCATCTTATTAAACAAAAAATATGCTCCAAAAGCACCCATGAGTTCAGCTACTAAAACTCCTTTTAAGATCTTCTTTGTCAGTGTTTCCAGAGGGCGACCCATCCTGAATTTAACAACAATTAAATGTGAACTTGAATGAGCATACTTACACCTATAAAAGAAACTCCACTATCACCACTTGAAAAGCTTATATAGGAATAACCCCAAAAAGTTACTGTACATTTGTTTTAGGCTATCGTATAATCTTAGTTTTCAATTTCCATATGAAAGGGACACAATAAACCAAGATATGATATAAACTAATTGATTCTTGTTCTTGAGTTTTTTTGTCTTTTATTGAATCATTTAAGAGGCTTACTTAAAATGTACTCATGCCAGGCGTGGTGGCCCACACCTGTAATCCCAGCACTTGGGAATCTGAGGCAAGAAGATTGAAGTGAATTCAAGGCCATCCTGAGCTGCATAGTGAGTTCATAGCCTGCACTACAAAGCAAGACCCTGTCTCATTTTAGAGACATTAAATGTGTATTCCTGAACCTCAGCCTGCAGCTCTCTTCTCCCCAATCTCCAGATTCGGATTCAGCAAAGCTGCCCTTTTTTAAGAAGCATTCCAAATAACTGACTCAAAGGGCCTATAAACCACATGAGGAGGAAAACTGATTGGGTTATGACTCAATAAGTGGCTTAGATCTTAACTCCTTATAATTAAAAGCTAATCAAGAGGCTGCGGATTTAGCTCTGTGGTGCCACACCTGCCCGGCAAGCCGCAAGGTCCTGAGTTCTTTACCCGGTACAAAAAAAAAAAAGCTGATCAAAGAAGGCGTTTTACTGTGCTGAGAGCCTAGCTCAGTGGCAGGTGCACTTAGTATGTCCCAGGCCCTGGGTTCAATACCCACCACCTAAAAAGGGCCGGGGTGGGGATGGGGTATGGCTATATAATAAAAAATCAGGATAGGCCTCTTTACAAGATAGGCCTCTCAATATATGAAACATAAGCCCATGATTTTACTCTGCCTTCATATAACCTGAAAATCAAAAACAGAAGAACCAGTGGCTTGTAATTTGGGGTTTTACTATTCTTCCACGTGCTCTGCACAGACGCAACCAGTTGTCTAGTGGTACCCAGGCCCAGCTGTCTGCTCACTGGCAGGCAAGTTACTCCATTTGCTTCGGCCTCATTTTCCGATGCCTGAGGCGGAAAGTGACTGAACATCAGATTATTATTACAAGATGCCCTTCCCCCAAAATTCCATTTTGATGCTATCACCCCGGACCCCCCCCAAAATTAAAACTATTATTCTTAAGAGAAAGGACGCAATCAATGGAGTTAAAAAGAACTTACAACCATGAGTTGGGTGGGCAGATGTGGAAAGCTACTCTTAACTAAGACGTGCTCAGTACGGGTCTTCTCGGGTTATTCCTAATGTTTGAGGGGCAGGGAACACACACACACACACACACCGCCTTTCTGCAGGGAACACACACACCCGCCTCACGAACTCGGGCCTTTCTGCTTGCGAGGTAGGCAGCGGCACCACTGAGCTAATCCCCGACCCCACTAAGCTAGACTTCTGTTAGAGGAGAGCGATCCTAACAAAAGCCCAAGCAACACTCTATAATAAAGCATTTACCTCCCTTAAGAATTGGGGTACACGTTCCACTCCACTCCCTCGGTTTCAGGGGTGTTTCAACCGGTTGATAAAGCCCGTGCCGCACGGAGCACCAGGGAACACTGTCGGGACGGGGCCCAGCCTGGACTGCGAGGGAGGGGACGCCGAAAAGGAGGCAATCCGCCAGCTCCGGAGGACCCGGCGCGGGGCGCGCCCCCGGGTACCGGACTTCCGACGTCCGCCCAGAGCGGACGCAGGTTCCCCTGCTCGT